AACGTCAGCTTCCCTAATCAATTTACCACCGTCAAAGAAGCCGATGCTTTTTATGTTGGAAATAAGTTTGAAATAAACTACATACCGTGTGTCCCTAATTCGATGCTCACCATTGAGATCTCGAAAACGGAAAGAGCTATAGTATATCCAAAGTCAGTTGAAACGCTATAAAAACACCGACAAAAGAATTTAAACGCCCGACAAAGGGTTTACTCATTTAATGGATAAAATCCTTTGTCGGCGTTTTTATAATGTTTCAACTGACTTTGGAGATACTGGTTAAATGGGAATAAGTTTTAGCAAATTTTATGATGATTCCAAATCCGTTGAGAAACCACGGCTAAAACGAAACCATTTTTGAGATTTTCCAAAAAAAAAACAAAATCTTGTGATTTTTTTTTGGCTGTAGCCAAGTAAACCTTGATCAAATAGATTTTAGACTTTTTTTACATTATTAGGACACTGTTTAGCGACTAATATTTTGGTCTAGAAACGAATGCTCGATAGCCTTTTGTTTTCGAGATATCCAAGGTATATTTCGTTTTTCTTACGGCAGCCATATTGGATTTTTCGTTTTTTAGATTGCGCTTAAAAAGAGCGTTCAGATGATATACACATACCGAGGAAAAATTGTTTTTCAAGGGACTAATTTAAGAAAAATTATCCATGCTTAACAATACATAATAGTAGGTCGTGGAAAACAAAAATTTTTGTAAAGCCGGAGACAAGGAAATTGCTTATTCAGATGGCACCTAATTATTATCTATGTACCTAAAATCTACTGTAAATTGCTTTATTTTCACAATTTTCTTAAAATATCAATTTTTAGACTATCATTAAGTTTTTTTTATTAGTCATAAAATTGTAAATAAAGTGTTCAAAATTTGAACAAAGAAGTCCTCTTCATCAAGGGCATCCTTGCATGCAAAGTAGTTAGTAATTAGCAAAATTTGAAAAATGCTTTTCTAAAAACGACCAAATTCACACATGAATTTCAAGTATTACTGTTAGTTGACAGTTGTTCACTAAACTGTAGTGGTGTTATTGTAAACTGTTCAAGAATACTTATTATTACTGTTTAAGAGTAAAATGGCGTACAGATTCCCAAATGTAGAAACATTTTATATGTTGGAGTGTTATTTAAAGGTAAATAGAGATTCACAAAACACATCGGCTTCCTATCTAAAAACACTTCCTGAGAGAATTGGAAGAATTGTAAGAGATTTCTTAAATTACGGGAGTTTTGATAATAAAAGAGACCGGTACGATATTGATAATATTGACCGCACAAATAATATTCTCGAAGCTGTTAAGTTGCAGTCGAAATAAATATTCCTTAGACAACTATACACAAGATATTAAAACAAAGGAAATATCATCCGTACAAACCTATGATTGTCCAAGCTTTAAACAATAATGAATTTGGTAGAAGACTTGCATTTTGTCTTTGGTTTAATCAGAAATGCTAAGAACAACCTGATTTTCAGTGAGAGTTATATGGACCGATGAAAGTCGTTTTACAAATTATGGAGTCTTTAACAAGCACAATTATCAGCACTGGGCCACAGAATATCTACATCTAACTATGCAAAGAAGATTTCACACTAGGTTTGGTTTCAACGTTCGGTGCGGCATGTAGGTATTACCTTTTCTCTTCCTATTCTACTCCTATGATCTGCCTATAACCCTTTCCTTAATTATTATTTTTAGATCGCCATTTAACTAGTCCATTCATTTCTCACAACTATTTAACGGGAACAGCCTATCGTGAACTAGAAAATCAAGTTTTACCCGACAGATTTTCAATCAAGACGGATATATCAAAAGTGGTACCCAGTTCTCAAAATACCTGATCCAAGAACATTTTCTACTGTTCACAGGGAGATTCATGAAAACGGAAGTGCTAAAAAACAACAATTTTTCCGAAGCACATCCTACAGTGAGAATTCCATATATTGACGAGCTGTTTGAAACATAGTTGAAGAACATCCTGAAACAAGCACAAGAAAAGTTTCGTTAACACTGAATATTAAGTTTGGGAATTTCTCGTTGAAAATTTGTGATACCCGTATCATATTTAAAGAGTCCAAACACTACTCCCTCGTGACTTTTCATTGCGTATGAACTTCTGCCACTGGTTTCTTCAAAATCTTGCCAAACAGCACTTATTTGATTGTCGAATATTATTTATCGATGAATCTAATTTTTCTCGATACGCTGTTAAAAATTTCCACAGTAATCTTTTATGGCAGATGAAAACTCGCATGCAACTATGGAGTCACATTTTCAGGAGCAATTTTCACTGAATCTATGAGCTGGAACTGTTGAGGTTACCTGATAGGGCCCTTTTTCCTTCCAAGGAAACTTAATGAACCATCCTATACTCGCTTTTTTGAAGATCTTCAGATCTTGCTTGAAAATGTCCCTGTTTTAAGAAATCAGATGTGTTTCATGCACCATGGTGGACCTGCACATTTTAGTGTTCTAAGGCGTGCATTTTTTTATCAAACTTATGGCAATCGTTGGATAGGTCGGGGAGGAACTCAGATATGACCTCCCAGGTCCCCTGACCTGAACAGTTTGGACTATTTTCTTTGGGGGCACCTTAAGACTCTAGTTTAGGTTCACGCCAAACTTTAAGATACACTCCAGGAATTTTTCAAAAGGTACGTTAATCGATGAGAAGAAGAGTTGATGCGTGCGTACTAACAAGAGGAATACATTTTCAACAGTTACTATGATTTCTTAGACAAATTTTCATGTGGAATGATATGAAATATAATAACGCTAACAATTTTTTGCTAATTATTATTTTCTAACTTTTACAAAATAATGTTATTTTTAATTCTACTTTGTTCAGTAAAACTAAAAATAAGTAACAGAAAAGTACTCACCAGTTGAATAATCACTTCAAAACTTTAAAACATCCACCGACACGTATTTCTGCATATAATTGAAATTATGTAATGGAAATTTCCCATAGAGTTATAATAATTTAAAACAAATTAGGTATCCTCTTCTTGGTAATAGTTTAAAATATGGAATGAAATAAGATATAATAACACTAAAAATTTTTTTCTAAACGGTGCAAAATACGAAAAAAATGCAATATACCAAAAAGTTTAAGAGAAAAAAAAGGAAGTCAATTAAGTACAAAAAAAATAGTGTCGCCCTAAAAAGTAGTTCGGGGAGTTTTAAAGTGTTCATGACCCATAAAAAAATATTACCCTGTAGATTGTTGCAAAAACCAGTAAAGCTGTTTTGTATAAACTGCAACCAGTGGTATGTACACCAAATTTGAATCAATTCTACTTTAAAAATTCATAGAATACATGGAAAACCAAAAAAAAAAATAATAATAAAAATTCAACACTCTGTATCTCAGTAACGATGCACTTTAGGACATATGTTAATAGAAACTTTTCGTCTTGATATGTTGTAAGGAATAATGTCCTGAAGTTTTGATATGTAATTAATTAAATCCCTATATGAGAGAAAGAAATTCACGCTGCGTTAATTTGGTATTCAAAATTATTTCCAAATAAAAGTAATATTTCCACCATAAATAATAATTGTACTTTTTACAATATTGAACAGATTTTGATTTTGGACCAAAAGATTCAAAAATTCATACGCTTTTTACAGGTTTGGTGGTAAATGGGTAATCTATCCAATTTTGAATTATCTGAGATTTCCTAGTGTCAAACATTGAAAAATAAATTAAGATTAAATACGAATTATTTCTGTCTCTAACGCATCTACGTATAGACATTCCATGTTGACTGTGTCTGTCTGGTGAGGCCATTTTTCTTAAGTTTGATTGTTTCTTACATATGTATATACCACACTGTGACACATAGACACCACACTGTGCACAGAAAACGAGGAAAAACAATTTTAGTTTAAGAAGTGTTTGACCGTAGGGAACCAATAGTGTCTTAAATCTATCATCAGTACCTCGTATTCTGGCCCCTCATTCTACTTATTTCAAGTATAACTTTGGGCATACATCTGATGATGTGGTCGATCACATCTTGTGGAATTTGTGCCCATAAAATGAGCTATGCCTAATATTCTCTGGGGCCGGTTTATGGTTTTGAAGTGCCCTACCCAATAGACCCCACACATGTTCAACGGGTTTTAAGTCATGAAAACGTGGTGGAAGAGAATTGTGATCAATTGTGTGAGTTTTAAGGATGTTGAATAATTACTGAGTACGATGGGCTAGCATTATCCTTAACAAACATTTTTGCCAACAACAGCCTGAAAAGTCGTCATAATGTTACTGTCAATATCATTGGCATACATTTGTCCAGTCATGGTCCTCCTGCAGATATAAAGATCAATGCGTCCTCCAGCACATATTCATTCCCATACTATGTCTCTTCTAAAAGCTTTTGTGGGTTGGATACATCTTTGGCTGTATCTCTATCATGACATTCTCAAAACTCATAAATGTCTGCTATCGCTGTGTATGCTGAAACAAGACTGATCACTGGATAAAATTGAACCCAATTCCTTGTCCCAGTTATGATGTTCCTTTGCCCACCTTAAACGGTCTGCATGGTCAGATGGACTTAACCGAGGTAATCGATATGAAGGATGACATGACTGGCCAAACTCCCTGAATTTATTCCGCACTGATTGGATACTTATTATGTACTACACTTAAGGTGCTTCTAACTTGAGAAACGTAAAGGTACAATTCATTTCTATTGTAAGTCGAAGATAACAATCTTGTCGCAGTGTTGTAAACCGAGGTCGACTATTTCTGTGTCGTTCTTGTATAGAAAAACTGATCCAAAGCCTACTTATGACGTTTTGGCTTACTCCTAATTAAAAAACAAAATTAAAAATTAAACTCCACAGGTAATATAACTCCCCGTATCCCTGAAGATACCATATGTGGGAGAGGGCTACACATTTAGCGACACACACGACAAGGACACACACCCAATATCTGAGTATGCTAGGATTAATTTCTGGTGTAGAGAAAATCCTAGCTCCTCGGCTGGGGATCGAACCCGGGATTCCACTCCAGGAAGAGAGGCAAATGTCATTACCATTCGACCACGGAGCCAATTCTATAGCAACATCGACTTGACGCAAGTCAGCTTGGATCATACCAATGATCCTATTGGCATCCAGTTGTAATAAATGACGCATTGCTTCCATATTTGTCCAAAGACTCCACAGAATACATTTCAAACACGCTCGACCGCACTTAACTACAGAAAGAGAATTAATTGTACTATGCGATGAAAATAGACACAACTATTTTGTCCTGGACACCTAAAGGCCATTTTGCAGAGACGTATTTAAGTGTGATTTTTCCAATATCCTTAACTTGCTGTGTACAGTGTATTATTGGTGTAAATAACAAAACATGTCAACTTTCAGTAATATTTGTTTTCAAATACGAGTAATCAATATCTTGTTCAGCGGAATTTTAAATACGCTATACTAAGTAGTGATGAATGATATGATAATAATGAATGATATATTGGATGTTGGTAAAGCAATAATTTCGAATGCATTAAAATCACTAAAAATAAACATTTCTTTAATATTTCTCTGAAAACTGTCTCCTGTGTCGTAACAATTGACGACAAAGAAAAGGAATTTGTGAACATGACATATTTTTTAAAGAATGTATCACTAATGTAACTATAGCGGGTAATGTTATAAAAAACCAATGCTTTACACCCATGCACCATAAGGGTGGCTCGGTACTCAGTGGAGATGGTCGTGGTCCAGATGACTAGGGACGATAACCTGGTAATAATTTATGCGCACCACTTTATTTATTATGGCTAAATAAAGAAAACCATTTAACGTTTCAGTACTCTTTGTTTAGGATAGATTGACATAATATGACCGAATTATATATAACGAACACTCGATTAAAATCCACAACGGGATTAACCGCTTCAGCAACAAAATAATGATTCCGCCTTTAGGCGTAATACACACAGTATATCCCTTATTAATTATAAAAAATTAATTTTTATTTAGCTCTCTCGATAGAGGATGATACGTTCGGTCACTATCTCGCTTCCCATCTAAGTCTCCTCGTCAGTGCCGTGCCCCTCTTAGCTTCCATTGTCTCTAGAAACCTTAATAAAATTACATAACTTATGTTCTTGTACAAAATATTTTAGCTGTCCAGAAAAAGCATATGCGTCATTATTTCAAATTCTAAAAATAACTTTTAATCACCATTATACAAATTAGTACGAAAAAAATATGCCCAAAGTTATACGCCAATGTTTATTAATAAATTAATAACTCAAATTATTAAATATTCATAAATTTAGCAAAATATGTTTCTTGGAGCTCAGCGGCTCATGTCCAATTATACATACTGTCGAATGACTTATTTTTATTGTAACCGAAGAAAAATATATACATATATAAATTTAATAACAAATATCAGACGCATTTAATAAAATGTTTTACCAAGAATGGCAATAAAATTCACATTCATCCTGTTTGTTGGTCGAAATAAAATAATAAAGATAATAATTATAAATGTCTTTATTAATTAAAATTGTACATTAACAATACAATTTTGGTTTAAACATAAGGCGAAGTCTAGCATATATCTATTCAACCGTAATTAGTATTATAATTTAGACAAATGCGATACAATAAATTGACATTTAGAATGAAGACCAAAAAATAAAGCAATATATAGATGAAGAATAACAAACAAAGGTAGTGAAGAGGTACGAAGAATATTATGGACAAAGACAGATCAATTAATTAGTAATAATCGATTAAATGATCATTGATTAATTGAAAAAAAAAACAGCTAATCGGAAATAATTGATTGCTATCAAAAATCGAACATCGACTGTCAAATTTCATAATTGCCCAGCCCTACATCCCGGGGTAAACTGAAAATTTATAAAAAATTTGCTGCCAGTTTAAGTGTTCTTACCAATGGAAACGGAAGATTTGCAAAGAAACGATTTTTTAAACCTGCCGATTAAATCTCACTAGCATCTCCAGTTTATGAAATATGATTTAGGCCAAGAAGAGTGTCCATAGGGTTGTATAAGTTGTATTATTCTTCGGTTTAGGCTAGCAACTATTGCTCACTTCCCCACGTCCTCCACTGTTTCTACAGTTCATTGATTGACGTTAAATTTGTTATTTCAAAATAATCTTATCCATCTTTGTGTGAAAGAAATTTAGAAAACTAATTAAAACAGCTATTAGAAACAAATAATTTTGAAAACTAAATTAATAAATCACGAAAGAAATATCCTTTGTTAATACATAATTTTAATTGACCAATGAATAAATATGAGGACTGTAAATTGACCAGCAGTTAGCAGAAAAAGTTGTTTAATTTAAATATTCTGAATTTCATTGTGATGTAATATGCAAATGAGTACTATTAACAAAATGTAGATTTTGTTATAAAACAGCAACAACATAGTTTTACTATGACTATTACCAACATAATGGAAATTAATATATTTCCTAGAATAAATAAAATAGTAAGTGTATAACATCAATTAGAGATGGCGAGTTGCGGTAAAAACCGATGGAATCAACAACACTTCAAATAAACCAGATTTCATATGTCGGCAAAACTATTTATACGTATTGTCCTTCACCACGTGGCATGGGAAACAAATACGGAATTCGTGGGGTTGAGGAATGAAACAAAAGGGAATCATGCCATATACATATACATATGTTTGTATATTTTCTCTTGGAAATATCGTTTAAAAACTTATTTTACATGAAACATCTGAAAGTTAGTAGCATTTTCAGGAGCATGTAAATAGGAAATTTTTTGTCATTTCTTGACAGAAATAATTTGTTTTTGGTGTATACCAGTGGCGGCTGCTCCCTAGAGGCTCAGGGGCTCGAGCCTCCCAAGTTACTATTTGGAAAATGTAACAGTAATTAAATGCATGATTTTTTTTTCAGTTTCTTTATATTTGATATCTATTTTACTTAGTTATTACCCGTTTGCAACGGCTATGTGTACAATAAAGTCGCATAATGTACTGACCGTCAATTTATTACTTTAACCAGAGAGTATGGGGGCTCAGGCTCAGCTCGTATGAGCCATTCCTTGCATAAGGAAATATATGAAAAAACGAGCAGAGCGCGGAAATTGTCGATCGAGGAGAACAGTTTTTACAACACGACAGAAGGCTCAAGTTTTCGGGGCCACAGTGCGCATTTAAATTTTGTGTAGTGTAGTAGTGTTTCGCTCTCGATATTTATTTGTGGTTTCACTGTTTTGAGTGTCTTTGTGTTATTTTAAGTTGGTTGATGCCAAAATGACTGACAATAGTATAAATAATGTTCTGAAAGTGAATTTTAAAACTCTGTCGTTAGCAGATAAATTAAAAGTCAAGAAACGCGGACGACCAACATCAGAATTGACTCTTAACCAACCAGACAAGGTAGGGACACGTACATTCACGAGGCATTTTTCTAAGGAAATTCACAAAAAATTCAGTGGATTTGTGGATGTGATAAGGTAAATGCCCTGTTTTGTTTTCCATGTGTTCTATTTTATTCCGATTCTGTCGGAATGGATATGATATGGTCGGTAACAAGATTTAAAGATCTAAAACATTTAAATCGGAAAATAAAAAAGCACGAAATTTCTGCATATTATATAAAGTGCAGTACGGATTTGGCTTCGTTAGGCTCGATAAATATTGCAGTTAAGTTAGATTTAGTTTATAGACAAGATATTATAAAATATAACGAGCAAGTGACTAAAAATAGGTATATTTTAAAGAAATTTATTATCAGTTGTATCAAGTTTTGTGGAAAGCTGGAACTAGCATTTAGAGCGCACGATGAAAAAGGTTCTCAAAACCGTGGGATTTTGCTAGAATTAATCGATTTTTCATCAGAATTGGATGTAATTTTGAAAGAACATTTAGACAAGGCGACGGTTTTCAAAAGTACATCTAAAACTGTGCAAAATGAAACATTGAAAAGTATGCTTGCAGTATGTCGTCAAAAAATTAAAGAGCAAATTAATGAAAGTGAATTTTTAGCAATTCAGAATGATGAGACAACTGATATTTATTTTGAAACTAGTGTCAAATAGTTATGATAGGTTATGGTTAAGATATTACCACAATTGAAATATTTAAGAGATATTTTAAATAAACAAAGAAAATTTGCTTTTAAATGTTTCAAAATTTAAAACATTTAAAAGCAAATTTTCTTTGTTTATTTAAAATATTTAATAATGTTTCACAAGGAGCCAACCGCAGAATCAGTACAATGTATATTTAAGAGATATTTTGGAGTTTCCTAAAAGTGACCCATAAGTCAGCTGAGGGTTTAACATAATGCATAGAACATGAGTTAGATAAATTAATTTCAAAATCGCCGTCTAAACTAATTGCTCAAACTTACGGCGCGGCGGTGCAAATGTTATGAGTGGTGCTTCCAGTGGAGTTCAATCAAAAATAATATTAACGTATTAACATGCTCATTTTGTGTATTGTTATGCGCATGAATTAAATATAATTATACAGAAAGCAACCAGTCAGAATGCCAAAATGAATTTTTTTTCTCAAATGTATCCGCAATTCCTAATTTTTTTTTTCAAGTTCTACTCACAGATATGATGTATTAGAAGAAACTGTAAATCGAAAATTGTCTAGAGTTGCCGCTACACGTTGGAATTATAACATCCGTATAGTAAACGTCAGTTTTCAGAAGAGAGAAAAGTTAATCGAATGTTTCGAGGAATTGGAGGAAACATGTAATAAATATGTTACTTGCAACCAGGCCTCAGTTTACGAAAAACTCTAGAAGATCCCAATTTTGTATTTTTTTCTTAATTTATTTTACAAAAATCTTTCCACATATAGACATATTATTTAATCAATTTCAAGCCAGAAATACAGACAGTATTGAACTTAAAAAAAAGGTTGAAGAGTTTGAAAAAAATTATATCAACTCTTAGAAATTCAACTGATGAGATAGAAAAAGAAATTACTAATATTGAGAATGAGAATAAACGGAGAAACATTAATCCTGAAAATAGAAATTCCGTATTTGCTAAGGAAGTGTGTGATAAAA